CTTGCCTAGCAATGGGAACCACTTCTTCTCCCGGGCAGGGCTTGGCAGGGTCCCTGCAGCACTGGCTCTGCCATTGACAGGGAGGAGCTGTAAAAGAGGAAGGCCATGAATGGGAGTGAGGAGTGAATGAAGGAGGAAGGACATGAGAAAGGAGGAGGGAAGGAGGAAGGGGAGGAAATGAATGAATTATGGACAGGGAATAAATGATGGTGGGAATGAATGAATGATAAATGAACAGGGGAATGAGTGATTGATGAATGAACAAGGAAATGGATGAACAGGGAATGAGGGAATCAACAAGGAGGGAAGGGATGAATGAGGAGGGCTCAGCCCTGCAGCCCAGCTCCTTTCCTCCACCTTTTTCTCCTTCTCCCTCCTTCTCTCCCTCCCCCCATTCTTGGTCTTCTCTCGATTTCCTCCCATCCCTCTCTCGCCTCCACCTCGCTCTCTGTACCACACAGGCTCGGCGCTGCCTGCTTCTCTCCACAGGTGCAGCGGCACTGACGCAGGCAGGCAGGCAGTTACTCACCGCCCTCTGCTGACTCACCTCCCAGGTATCCAGGCCTCCTCAGCAGCGGAAAGAGGCTTTTGTGTCTGGGAACCTTGGCGTCAGCCAGAGCAAGAGCAAGAGGCATCCAAACGGAGCCCAGGGACACAGAGCTGCACGCGGGCGTGTGCCCTGAGCCCTTCCCAGGTGTCACAGCTCAGCTGCCTCCTCCACCACCTCTGTGAGCCCCGCCAAGGGCTCTGGGAGGGAGGGAGGAAGTGAATGGGGGCAAGGGAGGGCCAGTGCCAGGCGTACCCAGGACCTCCGGGGCCTGGGAGACAGGTCTGCTGTGGCAAACGAGGCATGCCCAGCAGAGACTGGAGTAAGGTCTCTCTGAGACTCAGCTGCTACCACACCCTCTGCGTCCCCTTTCCCCCTGGAGTACTGGAGAGCAGACCAATACCCCACACCCCATGGCCTGTGAGTCCATCACCAGGCACCACGGTCACCTGGTAAGTTCCAACCAGGACTGAAGGGAGCCAGCCTCAGGCTCCCCAACTGGTTATATGTCCTCCTTCACAGAGCTTTGCTCCTGCTCTGCTTGGGTTGATTCTTGTTAGGCTTCCCCCTCCCCCCGCAGCCCTGTGGCCTTGGGCCACATGTGTTCGGGACCACTCTAAGCCCTGATGGGCACAGCCATGGTTCCAGGAAGCCCCGTCACCAGCAGTTCCCCTTCAGAGGGAGAGGAGAGCAGCCAGAGCCCAGGCGCCACTTCCTCTACCGTGTGGGGAGGCAGGAGGCAAGCGGTGCCGGTGTGGAGAGATGAGCAGACTGCCCAGCCCTTCCTCCCGGGGCCTGTATGTGTCAGGACCTGCTTCAGGCCCTGAAGCAAAGGCAGCAGTAAAATAAACCCTTCCTGGGGAGGCTTTGAGCCCACTGCACGCTGCTTCTCCCTGGGACATTTGTGAAGTCCTTTACTGCCCATCCTGAAGATCCTTCTTTCTTCCTGTGTGAGTCGTTTGGCGGGAGACGGGCCAGTCTGCTGGAAAGCCAGCCTACCGAGCCTGTGGCTAGGGCCTCTGCTTCCCACCATCTAGACCTCTAGGTTCCCACAAGGTGGGAGAAACTCCTAAATAAGGTGGTCCAGCTTGGGGACCAGGGAGCAGGCAGGCACGTCACTTGCTGAGCACACATCCAGGGGACCGTGTCCCGTGCACGCGGCCAAGAGCCCCTGAAGGGTGCCAGTATATGCGGTACACGCTCTATAAATGTTGAGGGTAGAAGTGGAGGGAAACAACGCAGATGGGAGACACCAGGCCCCATCCCCCACGAGGGGTACAGACCGCTGAGCTCTGCAGAGAGGGACCAGAGAACCCGGCAGGAGAGGGCAGGGGAGCGGCAGGGGACCTATCCCCCACGTGTGGTGGCCTTGGGGTGCTAGAATAACAGCAGTGCCCTCAGGGGTCACCGAAGCTCCCCGGGCAGCACTTGGGCACAAAATCCAAGGCGTGAGGACACCAGGATGGAAAGACACCTCCAGGCACCTGTAGAGTGTTCTAGGGGAAGCAAGCAGATGAGCAGGAGCCACGCCAGGAGCCAGGGTGGGCATGTGGCTGGCACCTGGTGCTTTCCTCACTAAAAATCCACCTTCTCTGCTGACTCCAAGGGGCAGTGATGGGCCACAGCGTGACTTGGGAGGCGGGAGCCGGGGTGAGCGGCGTGCCTGCCACAGCCCCTCCTGGCCTCGGGGCCCCGTCTGTGAAGTGGGCTGAGTGAGCTCACTCATAGGCCGCAGTGAGCCCCACACAACCTGTGCCCAGGAGAGCAGCCACATTCCAACAGAGGAACAGGGCTCAGCTTGCCTCCTCCCCTCCACCCCCTTCCAGCCACTCACTTTCCCTCCCGGGGCCTCTGACTACCATCTCTAAGGTGGGAATACCTAGCAGAGGAGTCATGGAATCAGTGGGTGGGGAAGATTCTGGTTCTAAGCATGGAAAGACCTGGCCTCCACAGTCCTCAAGAAGGAAAGAGACCTCATCCAGGAAGCCCCAGGGGGAAACAGTGAGGTGGCTCTGTCCGAAGGACTGACAGATGAAGTGATGGATGGATGGATGGATGGATGGATGGATGGATGGATGGATGGATGGATGGATGGATGGATGGATGGATGGGTGGATGGATGGATGGATGGATGGATGGATGGATGGGTGGGTGGGTGGATGGATGGATGGATGGATGGATGGATGGATGGATGGATGGATGATGGGTGGGTGGGTGGGTGGATGATGGATGGAAGAGGGGATGAGTAGCTGTGTGAATGAGTAGACAGGGAGGGAGGGAGAGAAGTATTTGTAGTGGGAAAGTGATCAGATGATGGATGGATGGGTGGATGGAAGGCTGTGTAGAAGGTTGGGGGGATAGGTGACAGATGGAAAGACAGATGGGTGGATGGGCAGATGGGTGGATGGAGAGGTGGCAGTGAATGAATGAGTGATGTGTGAGGGTGGCCTCACCGGCTGAGCCCAGTGATGTGGACGTGCTGCGGTGTATTTTTAATTTCCTTTCACAGATTCCAGCGGCCTCCCATCTGTGACGAGATAGGACAGAGCCAGCTCCAGCAACGCCGCAGCAATACAGAAGCCGAAGCCTGAGAACTCAGACTCGGTGTTATGGTTTGGATGTGAAGCTCGTGGGTTGAAGGCAGATCCAATCACCCAGAGATGACGATGGAGAGCGCTCAGATCGAACGTGGATCTATGGATTAAATTATGGTACATTTGGAAGGAAACAGGTCACTGAGGACAAGGTCTTAGGGTTAAGACTGTCTCTGTGTCTTTCTCTCCTTCCTAGCCAACACAAGGCGAGCAGTCACCGTGGCCTCCAACCTCTGAAACTATGACCCAAACGAATCTCCCCTGCTGTAAGTTGTTTGTAGCAGGTACTTTGTCACAGTAAGGAAAAGCTGACTGACACACAGACCCCTGCCACCTCTGACCAGCCTGGTCCTGAGCACCATGTCCTTGGCCCTGTCCTCACTCATGGCTGAGACCTATCTTCTGCCGAGCCTGGACCTCTGAGCTCATGGCAAACATGCCAGTGTTAAAGTCCTCTCCTCATTTGCCTCCTTCTGCTCTGGGACACTGTCCCCCGGGCCTGGTTTCTGGGGTTTTCATATAGCAGGTGCTTGATGGGAGGAAGGAAGGGCACTAGGGGGCAGAGTTACCCCTGGGTAGGGTGGCCATCAGCAGGCCTGGGCTGCACAGCATCCTGGAGCCTGGGACTGCACTCCTGGCTCACTGCCCGCTGTGTCCCCGCTGGGCCAAGGACTCTAGGGCTCTGTTGTACCCTGTGGCCCCTTCCTGGTTTTTCCAGACATAAACTCATCCCATGGACTGGCATCCGAGTTTGGCGCACCTAGCCCACCCCACGTGCCCAGTGAACCTTTGCGGATAGCACAACTTAGTCAAAGAGGTCAGTGTCCCCCACCCGGTCCCACCCTCACCCTCCTGCCGGCCCCCCGGGGGGCACCGCCTCTGCTCTTCTAGGAAGGTCCTAGGTCCCAGAGTGACTCGGCCCTGGGCTGCTGAGGGTGCTGCTGGCTCGGGGTGGCTCCAGCCTCTCCTCCTTGAGGACGGGGCTTCCCTGTCCTCACCTCGGAGCTCCAGAGCCCACTCACCATCCGCCCCCCAGGTCAGGCTGCTGGTGGCCTTGGTTCCAATCAGGGAGCTGTGCAGCCACCACCCCCTTCTCCCCAGCAGGCACTGTCCCATGAAACACAGACCCACGCGGGCAGGGCGCCCACGCTGTGCTTTCTCCTCCCCCCCCACCCCGAGTTTTCTGATTTGAGGAACTTCACTGATGTGTGACTCGGTATCACTTCCTCCCGTGGCTGGCTTGTTTCAGTAAGCAGCAACCCCTTTGGGTTCAGCGTGCAAATGGTCTGTGGACACCCTAAGGGAGCTCACAGTGCATGGGGAGAGGAGAGGACGCGGTGCAGGGCAGGTGAGGGCGGTGAGGGAGAGGGCGGCGAGGGGGTCAGCCGTGGGGCAGTGGAGCAGGCCGGCAGGAAGGGGGTGGGTAGAGGTCGTCAGCTGCTGCCGAGACTGGCACAGGATCAAGTACTGGTTGCTGGGGGGTGGGGGACGCAGAGCTTTTAAAAACTCACAGTGACATTTTGATCCCATTTGCCAGCTAGGAAGCGGCCTGTCAGCTCACAGCACACTTAATGTCTGCAAATAAAATCCAATCAATTAGAAACCCAGAAGCCCTCGGTCACAGCAAGGTGTCTGAGGGGGGCTGGCTCCCCTCGAGAGGCAGCACTTAGCAGAATGTGCCCTGGTTGGCCGAGGCAAAGGGCAGAGCCTGGCATTTGTTTTTTTTTTTTTTAATTGTGGGGCTTGAACTCTGGGCCTGGGCGCTGTCCCTCAGCTCTTCAGCTCAAGGTGAGCGCTCTACCACTTGAGCCACAGCGCCCCTTCTGGCTTTTTCTGTGTATGTGGTGCTGAGGAATCGAATCCAGGGCCTCATGCGTGCGAGGCAATCGCTCTGCCACTGAGCCACCTTCCCAGCCCCAGAGCCTGGCACTTGGGTGGCACGGGGTGTGGCGACGCCAGCGTGGGCCATGAGGATGGTACCCAGGGGCCACAGGGGTCCTTCGTCCAGGGGTATTTACTGAGCACCCACTGGGGAGGAGCCCAGGACAGGCAGAGGCTGGGCGGGGTCTGGCAGCCGAGCGGGGGAGTGGGGTGGTCAGATGAGGCTGGCCATCACCAGCACCACGTGAGGTCATCAGTGTCTGGGGACCAGATGGTCCAAGGCTTTCAGGTAGTTTCCAGGATTCTCAGGTTTTCTATTAACTCTGCCAAAACAAAGAAGGGGACACCAGTGCTCATGCCCCTGGCACAAGCCTACTAGGCCTTCAGGAAAGCAGCCCTGGATCCTTTCTAGGGGAGCAGGGTAGATGGCTCAGGCAGGGGTCTGGCCAGGCTGGAGGGGCTGGCGGGAGGGAAGGGTCGCCAGGCTTGGGGCTGGTGGGGTCCTGCAGCCTCCTAGCACACACGTGTACACACATACACTGTCATCTGCATGTGGTCAGCAGCACACACAGGGTTCTGTGGAAGGGCCACTCAGAACCACCAGCACCCATGTGCTCAGAATCACTGCAGGTAAGGAAGGGTCTCCCCCGGGGCGGAATGGCCACCCCAAGGGCTACTGGCCTCGTGTGTGGTGAAAGTGGGGTCCCACGTGTGGACAGCCCTCCCCCAGCAGCCATCTTTCCATTCACCCCACACTCTTTCCCCGCTTGGGGCACCTGTGAAGGCTGACGTGGTTCAGGCCTGCCAAGCTCCACCACACAAAACCACAGCCCAGGCCTCACCGTGACCTGCTGCCCAGGGGGCCTGAGACCGGGGGCACCCAACAGGGAGCCTGTACCCAAGCGCACTGCCTCTCAACACCTCCTGCTGGGGCAAGCCTTCAGCACTTGGGTGACACTTCTGATCTGTGGCCCTGCCACAGACAAGCTGCGTGCGTCACACTCACGCGCGTGCACGCGCGCGCATATACACACACACACACACACACACACACCCATGATCCAATGAGTGAGAGTCCCCAGGATCCAGGCCCAGCACTCATCCCCTCTGCCTGGGCCAGGGGGCAGCGGGATCTGCCCTGACGACCAGTGTCCTTGGGATGGGGCATGTTGTCCTCACCCTGAGCCTGGCCCGTGTCCTTAGGAAGACCAATGGAAGGGTTCTTCTTCTGGTCTGGTTCAGTTTTCAGTCCATATTCGGCTGGCTTCATGGCTCTTAGGCCTGTGGCAAGGCAGAAGCATCCCAAGCATCCTGGTGGAAGGGCTGCTCACCCATGGCAGCCAGGAAGCAGAAAGGAAGCCGAAGGGGCTGGGACAAGGCATTCCCCTCAGAGGCTGTCAGATGACCTCTTTCCTCCAACCCACCAGGTTCATTCAGCTGTGAACTCCTGTGCACATCCCCAAAGGCCCGGCTCCTGAGAGCTGTCAAGGGCAAAAGGATGCACGCAGGCATGCAGGTGTGCAGCACACCCTACCCCCAAGGGACTCCCAGGCCACACTGCTCACAGCTCTGAAGGCACTAAGCCACAAAGGTATGGCAAGAGGGTCCTGTTTGGCCCAGAAGTGCCTGAGCCTCCAAGCCACCCCAGAGAACAGGCTGTCCTTCCAATAAGAAAACTGAGGCTCACCCAAGGATGACCCCACCCACATGCCCCGGGTGGGGCTGATTCCAGAGCCAGCCTGGGCCCCGAAGTGGGCCACGCCGAGCTGGGCAAGGCTCTCGACTCTGGGCCAGCTTCCCCCACTGTCAGGCAGCCCAGCGATCCTGAGCGAGGTGGCACAGGGTCAGGGGGGGGTGGGGAGCGGCTCTCCCTCAGCCAGCCCAGCACAGCCAGCGGCCTCCAAGGACCTGGTCCTGCAACCTCTTCCTGTCTATCCGTCCCTCCCACTACCTGCTAACCCACCCACCAGCCACGGACCTGGGCTGCTGCCTGGGAAGAGCGCGTCTTTGAAAACACGGCAGGCACGTCTGCTCCTCCACGCCAGGCCCTCCTGGGCAGGGTCACCCTTCTCCAGCCAGATGCTGGCCACAGGGGTCTTCCCGCTCTGAAGAGCCTGCACGAGGCCGGCAGTGCAGACCGGGACTGACTGCCTGGCCTCTGCCAGGCGCCGGGGCTGGGATCCTCAGAGCAGTCTTAGAAGACCAAGGAAGCTGCACCTGGAAGCCCCGGTTCCCCGCGTCCAGCAGTACCGTGCGCCCTGACAGTGGACAGAACGTGACTGCAGGCGGGGGGCCTGCCCTCCTCACCCAGACCCTCGGGAAGCAGGGTAAGGGTTGCCAGTCACCTAGGAAGCAGCCTGCAGGGCCCTGAGAGGCGCAGGAGCAGTCCTGGGGCGGGGGAGGGATGGGAGTCAAGCCCGGAGGACAGGCCCTGCCGGTGGGAGGGACCGCCGGGGGGTCCGTGGGAGGACACAGAAGCTGGCCAGCTCAGTGCAGGGGGAGGAGTCGGGTGTTGTGGCACAGCTTGTGATCACGGCATTCAGGAGGCAGAGGCAGGGCTGCGAGCCTGGCTATTCAGCAAACCCCATTACTAAAAAAAGGGGGGGTCAGAGGTGACACTGCTCCCCAGAACCTCAAGAGTCACAGGGGAAGGGAAAGAGAGGTGGCCGCCCAGCACTGTGAGTCGGCCTCAGACTGAGAAGGACAGGCTAACGAGGCTGGTGTGCCCAGAGGCCGCTGGGGGTCCTGGGGGGCACTCAGGATGCAGCGGGGAGGCTGAGGGCTCAGCCAGCCCCCAGCCCGACACTCAGGGCTGAGCAGAGGCTCCGGGCCTCCACAGACCATGCGCACTGAGTCCCCTCTCCACACCTCTGGTGCAGGCCCCGAGGGCTGCCAGCGCTCTGCGGGGAGGAAGGCCGCACAGCCTGGCTTCCTGCTCCTCCCAAGCCCCTCAAGGGCCAAGCTGAAGGCTGTCCACGGCCGCTGGCTTTGCAAAGTGCCAAGCCAGACATCCCAGCATGGCCGGGACAGGAAGGAGCAAGCCATGAGGTCAGTGAGGGCTGGTTTGAGAGTCTGATGAGTATGGACCTGCAGGGGCTCCTCCATGCCCCACCCCCACCCCAGAGGGACCCATCCTCCCCCGGTGTCCCGCACTGATGCTGCCGGCAAAAGGGCAACACCTGACCTCTGACCTCCCGCAGTGCCTCAACCTACCGCAAGTGAACAGTCTCCTTAGTGATCCAGAACTGGCAGGAAGCACAGACGCAGAAGTGGGATGACAGCAATATGCCATGAGCCCCGGGTCCCAAAGAAGCAACACGGGGCTTTTGAAAAATGCCAGGATTTTATCACCTGCACACATGCACTAAGCGAACCCCCCCCCCCCACCACACACACACACAACGCGGGGCTGTGCTGGCAGTGATGCCCTCCGTGCCTGGGCGGGCAGAATGCCAACTGCGCCCAAGACCCCTCCCCCCCCAGCTCTCACCTGGCCCCAGGTCCCCGGTGAGGAGCTGGCAAACCGGGGAATGAGAAGCGCTGCCTCCGCTGCCATGCGGAAGCCCAGCGAGCCGCGGCCGACCAGAAGCACCTGCTTCCCAGAGGCCCCACCTCTGCGGGCCAAGGCCATCCGAGCGTGCCAACCTCCCACCAGCAGGGGGCAGGTAACACAGCAGAAGCTACACTGGCTAGAACACCTGGTGTGACAATTCTAGGAGCCCCACAACTGCGCCCTCTACAGTCACAGAGCCGCGGGGACCGAGGCCAGGTGGGTGCCGGGACGGCCTCCTTTGTCACCGGCTGCGGACGAGCAGGGCAAGGGCGAGTGGGCCGTGGGTGTGCCCGCACCAGGGCGCTCCTGGAAGGCCTCAGGCTTGACCCCGGCCTGGAGAGCGGCCTGCTGCCGCCTCAGCTGCCGCCGCTGGCAGAAGGCTGAGTGCAGCGCCCGCAGCTGCTCCGCCTCCTGCTCAGTGAAGCACGGCTGCTGCTCTGCAAAGCACAGCACGGCCTCAAAGGAGGCAGCCGCCTGCTCCCAGGCGGCCTCGTCCTCCCCGCCGTCCCTCTCAGCCTGCTCTGCCGGCCCAGTGGCCTCGGGCACGGCCTCCCTCCGGGCGCCCCGCCCCCAGGCCTCGCTGTCCTGAGGCCTGCTGCCCCGGCAGGGCGGGCCTGCCTTCAGCCCAAGGATGTGGGCAAAGGCCTTGTGGTGAGGCTTGGCATTGTGGCACTCTGTCACCATCGCCACCACCTCTTCCGAGGAGCTTGTGGCCAGCGCGACCGCCGGCCACAGCTTCCTCCAGGCCCGTCTGAAGACCTGGCTGGGCACGGCCTCCCAGGCGCAGGCCACGCTGAAGATGGTGTCGTTGGCGCTGTGGCGGGCGTGGAAGCCGTGCAGGGTGAGGGGCGGGCTCACGAAGTGCCGCATGAAGTCCCTCCGAATGCCCTGTTCCATGGGCTGCAGCAGGGAGGCCACGCCGGCGGGCAGGAAGATGGTGAAGATGTTGTCAGACACCAGCTCCGACTCAGCTGGGTGGGCCCGGGAGCTGTCCAGCAGGAGGACGGCCTTGCTGCCCGCGGGCAGCCCTATGGTCCGGAAGTGCTCTCTCACGGACGGCACGAAGACGTGGTGGAACCAGTCAGAGAAGATCTCCTTGTCCACCCAGGCGCTGGCCTGGGCCCTGTGGGCCACGGGCAGGTGTTGGATGCCCCTGAAGGCTCTAGGGCCACCCCCCTTCCCGATGGCCAAGGGCTTGATTCTGTGCGAGCCGGTGGCATTGGCACACAACAGGACGGTCAGCCGGTCCTTGCCCGGCTTGAGGCTGGGTACCGTCCCGCCATCTGGGCCGGGGCTGGGCAAACGCCGCCAGAAAAGGCCGGTCTCGTCGGCATTATAAACCTGCTCTGGGGACAGCCTGTGCTCCGCGGCCAAGCTCCTGAAGAAACCGCAGAACTGCTCAGCCACCTGGTGGTCAGTGCCCTGCTTCTCACTGGACGCATCCAACTTCTTAATGCCATGTCTGGCCTTAAAGCGCCAGAGCCACCCTCCAGAGAACACACAGGGCTCGGCCGGCTGCATCTGCTCGTACAAGTCCTTGGCCTTCTCGATGAGCATGGGGCCGGACACCGGCACGCCCTCGGCACGTTTCACCAAAAACCACTCGTACAGCACCCGGTCCAGGTGCTCCAGCTTGGGCGTGTGCAGGGTGCGCCGCTGCTCCAGAGCCTGGTTGGAGTCGGAGTTGGCAAAGAACCGGAGCAGCTGGGCCTTGTGGGCCTTGATGTCATACAGGGTGGACATGCCCACGTTGTACTCCTGCATCAGCGCCTTCCGGCTCTCGCCGCGCTCCAGCCGAGTGCAGATGTCGATCTTCTCCCTCAGTGTCAGCACCACCCGCTTGCGTTTCTCCCCCCTGCCCTGCGCCGCAGCCTGCTTGGAGGCCATGGGGAGGGTGGCCTGACCCACGCCGTGGCCTCCGCTCCCCTCTGCCGTGCCTCCTTATCCTCACAGTCTGCTGAGCCCGGGCGGAGCCCAGAGCCCAGGCGGAGCCCAGCCTCTCCGCCGCCTGCTTCAGCTCCCCGTGATGTCCCCAGCAGTGCACTTGCTGCCCGTCCTCTCTTAGGGGAGATGGCCAGTGTTGACCTGCCCAGGTCTGCTTGGTACGCTGGACCCTCTGGCCTTCTTCGTACTATGCTGGCAGGCTTCTCTCAGACAGGCCTGGGGTTGTGAGTTAATGAAGGGTTGGTGGTATGAGACGGGGTGTTCTCCGAGGCCTACAATGGCGTCTCTCCCACCGCACTTCAGGAACTGCATAGCAGAGGAGAAAACAGACAGTTGCATGGGACATTGCTTAGACTCACCAGAAACTTCTCCTGAAACAAGACTGCTGCTCAGCTTGGATTTGCCACTCCTCAATCCCCTCACTGCTCAGCCTTCAGCCCCCTCTACGCCTTCCCCTGCAGGACAAAGGCCAGAGGCCAAGGCACCACAATCCCATGCTGCAGGAAAAGGCACACAGCCCTCATGACTGATCCCACCCACCTGCCTCCCTCCCAAACCCCACTTCCTCTTGTAACCTTGCACAGCAGGGGAAGGCTACTTAACCTGAGCGGCCTAAAAATGGAACCAAGATGGCCAAACAAGACAAGACATTTATTCCAACGTGGCAGGCACGTTTGAAGATCACACCAGGCTTGTCAGCGGCTGGATCATGGGTGAGCCTGTTCTCAGAGCCTGAGGTGCTGGCCAGGGAGCCAAGGCTACCCTGGAGGGGATCTTCAGTAGGAAGCTGAGGGGCTGGCAAGCTTCCTAGCAGGGGCTTGGAACCCGAAATGGGCTCCATGGCTGTTTCGTGATGCCGAAAACCCTTCCTTCAGAAACGATTATTTTTTCCTTTGTGTGTGTGTGTGTGGGGGGGGGATTTCGGTTGAACTCTGGGCCTGGGCGCTGACCCACTTGAGCCACAGCGCCATTTCCGGCTTTTCTGCATGGTTTATTGGAGATAAGAGTCTCAAGGACTTTCCTGCCTGGGCTGGCTTCGAACCGCGATCCTCAAGTCTCAGCCTCCCGGGCGGCTAGGAGACAGGCGTGGGCCACCGGCGCCGCCTTGCAATGGGGGGCAGGGGAGCGGGCGAGGGTCCCGTGCGGGGCCGGGCGCGCCGCGCCGGGGAGCGGAGCGGGCCGCGGGCCTGCGGGCCCCGATCGGGGCGCAGGGCTCCGGCAGGGGACCCGCGGGGTCCCGGAGGCCGGCGGCCCCGCCGAGGCCTGGCCCCGCCCCGGAGCCGGTCCCGGGACGGCGCTGGCTGGGGGCCGGGGCCGGCGAGTGGTGGGCCCGAGAGGAGCGGCGGCTGCCGGGGTCGCGAGGCAGCGACGGCCGGGCGGGGCCCGCGCTCGCCGCGCTCACCGCGCTCACCGCCGGACGCCCCGCCCCGCCCCGCCCCGCCCCGCCCGCGATCGCGGCCGCCCGGACCCACTCACCGCGGACCCGGAGCCGCCGCCGCCGGCCGGAAGTGCCGGGCCAGCCGCTCCGCTCCGCAGCGCCTCCCCTGGCCACTTCCGGGCCGCTCTGGGCCGGCGGAGGACCCGGCCTCGGTCTCGGTGGCCGCTGGGAGGCCGCGGGGCGCTGATTGACCGCGGGGGCGGGGGCTGACCCTGGAGCGGTACGGGGGCTGACCCTGGGGGCGGGGGCTGACTCTGGGGGCGGGGCGGGGGCTGACTCTGGGGGCGGGGCGCTGGCTGCCTGGGGGCGGGGGCTGACTCTGGGGGCGGAGACTGACTCTGAGGGCGGAGACTGACTCTGAGGGCGGAGACTGACTCTGGGGACGGAGACTGACTCTGAGGGCGGAGACTGACTCTGGGGGCGGAGACTGACTCTGAGGGCGGAGACTGACTCTGAGGGCGGAGACTGACTCTGGGGGCGGAGACTGACTCTGAGGGCGGAGACTGACTCTGAGGGCGGAGACTGACTCTGGGGACGGAGACTGACTCTGAGGGCGGAGACTGACTCTGGGGGCGGAGACTGACTCTGAGGGCGGAGACTGACTCTGAGGGCGGAGACTGACTCTGGGGGCGGAGACTGACTCTGAGGGCGGAGACTGACTCTGGGGGCGGAGACTGACTCTGGGGGCGGAGACTGACTCTGGGGGCGGAGACTGACTCTGGGGGCGGGGCGCTGGCTGCCTGGGGGCGGGGGCTGACCCTGGGGGCGGGGCGCTGGGTGCCTGGGGGCGGGGCTGGTCCTGGGGGCGGGGCGCTGGCTGCCTGGGGGCGGGGCTGACTCTGGGGGCGGGGCGCTGGCTGATGGGGGCGCTGGCTGCCTGGGGGCGGGGCTGACTCTGGGGGCGGGGCGCTGGCTGATGGGGGCGCTGGCTGCCTGGGGGCGGGGCTGACTCTGGGGGCGGGGCGCTGGCTGATGGGGGCGCTGGCTGCCTGGGGGCGGGGCTGACTCTGGGGGCGGGGCGCTGGCTGATGGGGGCGCTGGCTGATGGGGGCGCTGGCTAGCCCGGGGGCGGGGCGCTGGCTGGCCCGGGGGCGAGGCCGACCCCCACCGCCCTGGGGGCCTCTGAGATCTGGGCCCGGCCGAGCCCCCTCTGGGTGGCCGTCAGCGCTCCTCCTGTGGGGCCCGCAGCCCTGGGCGTGGGTCTCACCCCGCTGCAACCGCGGGGCGCCCCCCGCTCCAACCCGGGTTCCGCCGCCCCCCGACAGCGGGGCGGCCTGGTCGGCTCTGGCGCGGCGAGCGCCCCTTCCTGGCCGCGTGCTGGGCCTCGAGGGGGAGAGTCCAAGAGGGAGGTGGACGCGGCCGGAGACTGCAGACTCAGCTTCCATCGGGGCTGCTCTGTCTCACCCGCACCTTAGCGCCAATTCCTGCCGCTTTCTGCAGCTGAGTCCTTGCTCATCCCCGCCCCTTGCTCCCGTCCCCCCCTTGCTCCCGTCCCCGCCTTGCTCCCGTCCCCGCCTTGCTCCCGTCCCCGCCTTGCTCCCGTCCCCCCTTACTACCATCCCCCCTTGCTCCCGTCCTCCCCCCTTGCTCCCGTCCCCCCTTACTACCATCCCTCCTTGCTCCCGTCCTCCCCCTTGCTCCCGTCCTCCCCCTTGCTCCCGTCCCCCCTTACTACCATCCCCCCTTGCTCCCGTCCTCCCCCTTGCTCCCGTCCCTCCCCTTGCTCCCGTCCCCCCCTTGCTCCTGTCCTCTGTGGCCAATGGCACCCGTCTTCCGGCTCACACAGGCCAAATCAGACATCCAGCTGACCGGGAGCTCTGACGGCTTGCCCACAAAGCCCCGGCCTGTCTCCTCTCCACCCGACTGTCGTCGGGAGCCTGGGAGGGAAGCCACTCCAGCTCTCAGTGGCTGGACGATGCTGCGTGTCAGGAGTTGCATGTCAGAGTTGCATGTGTTTGGCCGAGGGAACAGCATACCTGGTCGGCTTGGGACTGATTTCCGGACACAGCCAGGTTCCTTGGGATGGCCCAGCTCAGCCCTGGGCCTGGCTCTCTGCTGCCACCTTGTGGACACACGGTCGCTCCTCCCACATGGGAGTGGGTGCTAGCAGGAGCCCGGCCTGGCATGAAGTGGAGCATTTCTCCAGGACCCTTGGGTCTCCTCAAGGGTCCAGTTCACTCTGGCAGTAGAGAAGGAATTAGAAAGAGAGAACGAAGCCAGGTGCCAGTGGCTCACACCTGTCATCCTAGCTACTCAGGAGGCTGAGAGCTGAGGATTGTGGTTCAAAGCCTGTCCAGGCAGGAAAGTCTGTGAGTTTCTTATCTCTAAGAAACCACCAGAAAACCAGAAGTGGTGCTGTGGCTTAAGTGGTAGTGTGCTTGTCTTGGGCTGAAGAGCTGAGGGACAGCGCCCAGGCCCAGAATTCAAACCCCACGGCCGAGAAGAAAGAAAGAAAGAGAAAGAAAGAAAGAAAGAAAGAGAAAGAGAGAGAGAGGGAGAGAGAGAGAGAAAGGAAGGAAGGAAGGAAGGAAGGAAGGAAGGAAGGAAGGAAAGAAGAGAAAGGAAGGAAGTAGAAGGAAAGAGAGGGAGAGAGAAAGAGACAGAGAAATCTCGAGAGAGAGAGAAAGAAGGAAAGAAAGAAAGAGAGAGAGAAAGGAAGGAAGGAGAGAGAGGGAGAGAGAGACAGAGACAGAGAGAGAGAGAGAGAGAGAGAGAGAAAGAAACAAACAAACAAAGAAATGAATACTGACGTTCCCTGGGGCCTGGCACTGTCTACAGGGTCAAGGCCTTCAAACCACACCTGGCCTGGCCTGGGGCAGAAGCCTCCTCCAGATGGGCCTTGATAGCTTCACTTGGTCAGCGTGGCCGTGGAAAGGGTCAGTCTGGGTTGCCCACTCCCCTCCTGAGTCCGCTCCATCCTGAGCCCCCCATGGTCATGCAGGCTGCTCCGCCCGCTGCCCAGAGCGGCTTATGGGTCTCAGTTCACAGCACTCACACTTGCACAATGCTCACATACAGCACGTGCCCACCTCCTGCGCTGACACTCCCTCATGCACACACAAGCTCCTACATCACACACGTTTCCACACCATCACACCTAGCACGCACACAGCCTGCCTGGGGCGTCTGGCTGCCCAGTGGCCTGGCTGAGCTCGGGGCATGTCCGAGACCTACGGGAGCCTGTCTCCAAAGGACACAACCTGCAGTGGTATAAACAGAAGCTTGTTGTGATTTTTCTGTTCACATACTGTCTTCCATTTCAAAAACTTGCTCTGTGTGAAATGAAAAGCTCACGCCCAGGTGATGTGTGGTCAAGCGGGGACAGTGTGTCCGCTCCGGGGGAAGCCGGAGTCTCTTGGCGAGGCTTCCCCGAGCGTGACCGGCGCCCAGGAGAACAGCTCCTCTGCTATGTGAACGGGCAGGCTTGGGTGCGCAGGCAGGAGCCCCGGGGGGAACAGGAAAAGCTGGAGTCTCAGGAAGTGGCTCAGGCTAAGGGTGAGGCATACCAAGGCCGCACCCGGGGCGCACGCAGGCAGCCACTCCCCTCCGGGATAGACCTCTCCGGGGAGCAGGACCCCCAGAGAACCCAGGCCCTGTCTAGGCTCTGCCTCTGTTCAGTGCATGGTCCAGGCATGAACAGTGAAGGTCGTGGGTCAGGCTGTGATCAAGGTCAGGCCTCACAGTGTTGTCGGAATCAGGGTTCAGGGTATGTCCAGGGGTTGGGGCTTAGCATGTGACCAGGACTCAGCCTGACATCAGGATTAAGACTCAGGGTGTGAGCGGGGTCACGGCCTACATGGGGATCGGGGTCAGAGTTAAGTCTGAGAGAATCTGGACTCCGTGTTGGAGTCCGTGTGTGGCAGGGGTGAGGGCCGTCAGGAAGTCACAGTTGTGGTTTTCCACCCTTGAACTGTGGTCACTAGACGATCTCGGCCATCTTTAGACCTGACCTCCCACCTGGGCACTGCTGGCATTCGGGGCCAGAGGCTCTACAGAGGATGCCCTGTGCACTGCAGGTGTTGTGCAGACCCTGGGCCTGGGCTTACTGCACCCAGCGCCATCAGCACCCCCAAGTGGGGACAGCCCAGCTGCACATCCACCCCCCCCCCCCATGGCTGCGTTTGAGAGCCACTGCCTTAGACAGCTCACTTCATATCAAAGCAATCGGCAAACATTTCCCCACCTGCAAATATTTGGAGAATGAGTGTTCCAGGCCGGTGCTGGGCGCCTGGTGCCTCCAGTGTACAAGCAGATAAGAACGGTTCCTGCCCAGCAGCGACCCGGCTCCTGTGGGCTGGTGGGAGGGTGGGCACCGGCAGGCAGTCACGTGGAAACACCTGCGCCCCAGGCACCTCCATCACCTGAGTGCCACACCCCCTGGCCGTCAAGCCAGGGCTGGAGGGGTTTTCAGAGAACATTCCAGCGGGCAGAAGGGCAGGAAGGCATTCTGGGGAGGCTACACACACACTTAAGCAAGGCCCTGCCCCTCGGAAGCCAAGCTCCTCACCGAACTTCCACGACAAACCCATCAACCAACCAGGGGTGCCAGGGAGCCGGGCAGGGGAGACCTCCAGGGCCGAAGGCAGCGATGCTCACTCCTGGCGGAAGCCCCCGCCGGTGTGTGGGCTCTGCAGGGGGTGGAGCGTCCTGAGCCCCGGGTCATTCTGGCCTTCTGGTGCTGTCTCCCCTCAGGACCTCAGGGCACACCTGCAGCTGGTGTGGGCTGGCTCCACCAGGCTCTCCTTTGCAGCCCTGGAAAGCCAGGGTGCTTCTCAGGAGACAGCCAGTCAGGCACCCTGACCCGAGTGGCAGGTAAGAAGGGGTTCTCGGCCAGCAGGCCCCTAGCTAGAGCCAGAGCTGCCCAGGGGTCACAGGGAGAGCCTGGCGAGGTTGAGACCAACGGAGACCACAAATCCCCCCCCCCCACACACACACACACATGCCAATAATGGCAGGAAGCCCTGAGATCCTCAGAGACAAACCGCAGCCTCAGTGACCAAGGCTGGCAATGGAGGGCTGACCCACAGGGCTTGGGGACTCTGCTAGAGACAGGCAGCCAGGGACATCACACCCAACAGTCAAGGAGCCAGAGGGAAAGGTGGCCTGACCCTTGGCCTGACCTCTGTCCCTCCATTCTGCCCAGGAAGGCCATATTGGTCAGTCAGGACCCAGGGTGGGTTACAGAGCAGGTCCAGTGTGCTGTGAGCTACATATTTCCTGACTCCCTTGCAGCTAAGGTTCCAAGGGTGGAGGGGGAGGGAGGTAAGGGGCTTAAATAAGATCTTGAGGGTAAAGCCCGGGACCCAGGGCCCAGCACACTCTGGAGGAAAGGCCCGGGACCCAGGGCCCAGCCTGTAGCGATCCAAGCTCTGACTGACCTCCAGGTCCCTCCCTCAGGGAAGGCAGTCCCCTGCATGGCCCCTGTCTGCTGACACTCTAGTGATGGGATACTCGGGTCAGCACCCATCACCCCAAGGACCACAGAGCCCAGGGAGGCAGCACTGCTTCTATACAGAGCACAGGGCCCTAGGATGTGCCCTTGTCCCTAACCAGAAGATCTAGGGCACGGGTGGCCTCCCCGTTCTGGCCTTCCCCTGTGGGGGGCTTGGTGGGGATGCCTGGGAACTCCATCCAGGTCCTCCTGCAGGGAGCACGGTCTCGCCCTGGGGCCCCACCCTCCAGGGGCTGAAGGCAAGGCGTGGGGAGTGGGAGGGGCCGCTGGGAGGACCGGAGATGGAAATCACCGGCCCAGGCCCTCGCGGGCCCAGGGAGCCTCCCCTGCCAGCTCTGGTCATATAAGGCTTCCTGCAGCCTGCTCCCCAGTCCTCACCATGAAGGCTGTCCTCCTCGTTCTGGTGGCCGCTGGCGTGGCTCTGCAGCCAGGTGAGACTTTAGGCCACCACAGGGGAAGAGCCAGTGAGGGAGGCTAGAAGGGACCAGAGGAACAGAGCAGGGAGGAGGCAGGGGGCGGAGGAGGACGGGGAAGGATTGGGGCCAGAGGAGGAAGGGAGCTTCTGGCTTCCTAGAACAAGGCCCCCGCTGCTAACCTAGCCTGTGAGAGGCAGACGTGGAAGGCAGATGAGGCCACTGTGCCTGGCTCCCAGAGAGGCAGGCAGACGCACTGACGGACAGCCTGCCGCCAATGCCCTTGGAAGCCCAGGGCAAAAAAACACAAGGTAAGAAGCGGAGAAGGAAGGCATGAGGACAGCGGGGTGTTCTGAGAGAGGACCCCAGCCCTGGGTTGCTGCCCCCGCAGGGCGGGGCGGGGCGCTGCAGGGTCCTGCCCCAAGTGCTCCTGGGAGTTCACCCTCTCAGAGCCTCAGTTTCTGTTTCAGGTTAGTGGGGTTCCACCAGAGAATCAAACAGGGCAGTGTTTGGGGTACCAGTGTGGGGCTGGGGTGTGCTTGGCACCCAGCTCGGTTGCTCTATGGGGAGACTTCGTCCAGACGCCCTAGGAGCTGGGGCCCTCAGCCCAGACAGCAGAACACAGCCCAGGGGCCCGCAGTGGACACCAGGGAGACCCGGTTGGGGCAGAGGGGCGGGCTGACCTTCGACCAGGACCTGGGTCCCTGTGCCCAGGGGCACAGGGGAGTCAGGGAGGGGTCTCCCTGCCACCTGCACCCCTGCAGCCTCCTCTGCTCTGGGTGTGGGGGGAGGCCCGAGAGCCTGCCCGGTGCCTCCTCCCTGCGCCTGCTGCCCGGTGTCTTTCGGCACACACAGGCTGGGCAGCCTCTGAGTCCCTGCCTTGCCCACAGGTGCTGCCCTACAGTGCTACTCATGCACGGCCCAGGTGAGCAACCAGGACTGCTTGAATGTGAAGAACTGCACCCAGGGCCAGACCCAATGCTGGACGTCCCGCGTGCGTGAGTGCCCGGCGCCACCTCCCCTCCCCCTTCAGCAGAGACCAGAGACCCAGGCTCCCCCAGCAGAGACCTGAGACCCAGGCTCCCCCCCAGCAGAGACTAGAGACCCAGGCTCCCCCAGCAGAGACCTGAGACCCAGGCTCCCCCAGCAGAGACCTGAGACCCAGGCTCCCCCCTCCCCGAACAGAGACCTGAGACCCCGACTCCCCCACCCCACCCCTGGCCAGCAGGGACCCAAGACCCTAGCTCCCCCTCGCCAGCAGAGACCCGAGACTCCGGCTCCCCCCCCCCAGCAGAGACCTGAGACCCCAGCTCCCCCTCCAGCAGAGACCTGAGACCCTGGCTCCCCCCCCCCAGCAGAGACCTGAGACCCCGACTCCCCCCCAGCAGAGACCAGAGACCCTGATTTCCCCCCCCCAGCAGAGACCTGAGACCCTGGCTCCCCCCCCCAGCAGAGACCTGAGACTCTGGCTCCCTCCCTAGCAGAGACCAGAGACCCTGGCTTCCCCCCCCCAGCAGAGACCTGAGACCCCCAACTCCTCCCCCAGCAGAGACCCGAGACCCCAGCTCCCCTCCCCAGCAGAGACCTGAGACCCCAGCTCCCCCCCCCCAGCAGAGACCTGAGACCCCGGCTCCCCCCCAGCAGAGACCTGAGACCCCGACTCCCTCACCCCACCCCTGGCCAGCAGGGACGCGAGACCCCAGACTTTGGTCCCTCCTTCTGTTCTTGCTCTGTCCATCTATCCACACTGACCTCAGCCTCCCACCCATCCGCCCATAACCACGCATCCCCACCAGACACCCAGCTGTGCTCGCTCACACTCTGAGCACTTCTGGAGGGCCCCAGCCTAGGTCTCCCACTCTCCCGGGACAGTGGGCCGGGCAGGGGGCAGGCGGTTAGCGTGTCCCCGCGTCCCGCCAGGTGCCATCGGGCTGGTGACGCTCATCAGCAAGGGCTGCACCTCCGAATGTGTGGACGATGCGGAAAACTACTACGTGGGCAAGAAGAACATCACCTGCTGTTCCACCGACCTGTGCAACACCAGCGGGGCCCACGCTCTGCAGCCGGCCACCGCACTGGCGCTGCTCACCATGCTGGGCAGCCTGCTGCTGTGCGGCACGGGCCGGCTGTAGGCTCTGGGGCCCCCGCTGCGGCCCATACGTACTGGGCGAGGAGACCAGGGCTTGCTCACACACCCCAGGCCCAGTGAGGGGGGCCTTTCCCAGTTCCTGAGGGCACCTGGTCCCAGGGGTCTGGCCTGGCCCCTTTCCCTGCCCCTCCTGAGGTCCCCTCCAGACTTCAGCCCAGAGCCCACCAGAAGCCAGGAAGGCTGGCTTCTACAGACACAGAATGGCTGGCAGCCAGCTGCAGGCTCAGGCTGCAGCCTGACAGTCCCGTATCTGACCTGGCTGTCACCTCTGTTCAGGCACCGTTGCTTCCCGGACGCCTTCCCTCTCCCCGCCCCCCGCCCCCCCCCCCCTGCACCCAGAGCTGAGCCAGATCCCCATGGGCAGCTCTCAGAGAGGCCCAGAGAAGGCTGAGCTAAGATGGACTGAGCAGAACGGGTCTGAGCGGGGCTGTGAGGTCCTGAAGGTGCTGGAGAGGAGGTCGGAAGGGAGGAGCAGCTCTCACGGCAGGTCCTTAATAAATGCCTGTGGGTGAGTCCACTGAGCCTCTGTCCCTACACACTCCTCCGAGCCCAGCTGCTCCTGGGCCTTGCCCGGGGCAGCGGATTGTCCTTGAGCACCACACACAGCTCCGGACGCAGAAGGGAATGTGTGGCCATTGGCAGGAGGTAGGATGGCGTCTCAAGACTGCCCGCCTTGCTGTGCAGCCACAAGCATGCTGCCTTGGTCTCTGAGTCCTGGGAGCTCCTGTCTCCTCTGCAGTGAGGCAGGGACCCGTGCTCTGGGAGCTGGAAGCCTGCACTGAATGCTCAAAGGCCACAAGGGGCCCCAGTGACTAGGCCAGCGGCCCCCACCCCACCCAAAGCCCAGCCTCCACTCCAGAGGCTCACAAAACGGGAGAGAGAGGTTACGTCCTGAGCTGGAGGCTGGAACCCTGGGGCAGCCCAGCTGCCAGTGGGGCAGAGGTCGTCCTGCGGAGAAGCCGGCAGATGCCCACCCCGTGTGGCCTGAGGGGCCGGCCGTGACGACACATCTTCCCCAGGCCAGCATCTGAGTGGCCATAATTGCTGGCTGTCCCCCTCTCCGGCATCCCCCTCCAGTTCTGTCCCAGGACCCCTGTGGGAAGCTCTGGGTCCCAGTCTCCCTCAGATCAAGGAGCCTACAAGACAGTGGGCAAGTCTAGCCAGCTAGTGAGAAGGGCTGAGAGAGCAAAATAAAGTCAGAGAAGAGGATCTGAGGCCGGGCCGAGTCCCCTGTAGTCCCAGCGGCCTCCTGGGGCAGGACTCCGTCCATAGAAGGGCCCCAGCCTCCGCCTCTCTCCAGCGGAGCGGTTCTTCCTCCCCAGAGCTGGGCATGCGCAGGACTGGTGCCCCCAGGGGTCTGCAGGCCAGAGTCGAGCCAGAGTCACACACATGCTGAGACTTCCTCACAATGAACGGTTCTAGCCTGGGTGAGGGGAAGAGGGGAAGGCCTGACTGACAGGTGCGGGGCCTTCCTGGGCTAGGCTAGAAATTCCCTGAGATGGGCAAGCCACCAGGATTCCCAGCCGCTCGCCTGGTGGGGTGGAGCCAAGGCAGGATGGGGAGAAGCCAGTCGGAGGCAGGCTGCCAGGGCAGGCCAGTCCTGAGGACTGTGGCTGCTAGAACTGCTCTTGGCATTTGGTTGGGCAGCTCCCAGTCAGAGCATCTTCTAGCTGTGGAGCCTTGAACCCAAGCAGTGGCCCCTAGAACTTAGGCTGTCGGCCTTATTCTGCGGGCAACGCTGGGCTCTTCTGTGAGCATGACCCCCCACCTAACGTCCTGCACCCCACCTGGTTCCCCTGGAGCTGAGGGAATCAGTGGGCTCAGGACCTAGAGGGCCCCACCTGACCACTGGGACTGTTACAGTCCCCCAATAAACTGCCACGACCCACCCCAAGCTGCTCGGGCCTTTGTGAGGGACAGGGTAGAGGGAGGGGAGGCCTGCCTTTACTGCCTGTGGGATCTGGTGGCCAACGAGGCTGATAGGCCCTAGCCCCAGGGTCCAGCGGGGAGACAGGCACCCCTACTTCTGTAACGGCGAGGCGCATGCTAGGCTCCCCTCACAGGGAGGGCTTGTGGGAGGGAGCAGACACTGGGTGCGCCCTGGCGCCGGGAGGCCCGGAAGGTGGAACAAGTGGTGTTAGCTCCCCACCTTCCTTATCTCCAGGGCCATGGTCTCCTAGCACGGTGGGACACAGAGGACAGCATTATCAGGGCAGTGGCCAATGGGCTCGAAGGACGTGTCCTCAGTCCCCTATCCTGAGGACACAGTGGGTTTTTACAGGGAAGCATGTGAGCAATGTGTGGAGAGGACAATTAGGGTTCTCGGGGTGACTCTGAGAAGCCAAGCCTGTCCAAGCTGATCCCAGGGACCCCAGATGCTCAGATCCCACCCTGATGCTCGGGGGGGGGGGGGGGGGGCTCACTGCAGAAGCAAAGACCCTGCCTGGTGCAGCACAAGTTCAGCGCTGTGCAGCCCTGCATGGCGCAGGAAGAGGCCTGGCCCCCCACAGCTCCCTGGAGGGCGGTCAGGCCCACTGCAGCCTGCAGGCCCGGCACATATAGGCGAGGGGGGGGGGGGGAGCCAGTGGCAGGTCCAGAACCTTCCGGAAGGCAGCAGGACTCCGGAACCCCTCCAGTCCTCGCAGGTCTAAGAGGCTGGCCTTGCGGGTCACTGGATGACGGGGCCACGGGAGAGCCCTACAGGGCAGGGATGGCGGAGGGTGCCAGCGAGACCTTGGAGGGGGGGCAGCCTGCCGTTCTGGGCCGGCGTGCTGCAGCCCCGAGGCCGACCCGGGCCGGGGGTCACCCCCTCCTCCCCCTCCCACCCCCCCTATCCCCCCCACCCCCGCCGCTGGGTCATTCCCGCCCCTGACTTGAGTTGCTCCCGTTTCGGTTTCGAGAGAGGCAAAGGTCAGGAAAGCGTCTCTGATGTGTGAAGGGCGAGGGCTGGGGCCAAGTCCTCGGGTGGAGACCGCAGCGTGCACGGGCGGGGACCTGCGGGGTAGGGGTGCGGGGACCCCAGCAGCTGCGGCCTGCAGCCCTGGGCCCGCGCCGGCAGGGGGCGGGACCCCCGAGCCCGCTCCTGCGGCGGCGGGCGCGGCCGCCAGGGGCCGCTGTGGAGCTGCGCGCGCCACGCCCGGCCCCACCCGGGGAGGAGCGGCGCGGCGCCGGAGGGCGGGGCGCGGGAGGAACCATCGAGGACGCGGGGAGGGGGGACTTCCTGCGCCCGGGCCTGCGGCCTGCGGCCCGGCGCGCCTGTCCCCCCCGCGCCGGCCTGGCCAGGTGGTACGCTCCGCCCGCCCGCCCCGCCCCGCGCCGCAGCCGGCTGCCGGCGGACTCCGCGGCCGGCCGGCTACCGGCCGCCCTTCCTCCGCCGCCCCGCCGCGCCCCGCCGCGCCCCGCCCCGGCGCGCCCCGCCGCCGCGGGCCCCGCGCCCACGCCGCCGCGATGGTGGAGCTGCCGGTGGCCGCGCTGGTCCTCGCGCTCGCCTTCTTCGCGCTGCTGGACGGCTGGTACCTGGTGCGCGTGCCCTGCGCCGCGCTGCGCGCGCGCCTGCTGCAGCCGCGCGTCCGCGACCTGCTGGCCGAGCAGCGCTACGGCAGCCGCGTGCTGCCCTCCGACCTGGACCTGCTGCTGCACATGAACAACGCGCGCTACCTGCGCGAGGCGGACGTGGCGCGCGCCGCGCACCTGGCGCGCTGCGGCGTGCTGGGCGCGCTGGGCCGTCTGGGCGCGCGCGGCGTGCTGGCCGCCTCGTGCGCGCGCTACCGCCGCCCGCTCCGCCTGTTCGAGCCCTTCGAGGTGCGCACCCGCCTGCTGGGCTGGGACGACCGCGCCTTCTACCTGGAGGCCCGCTTCGTCAGCCTGCGCGACGGCTTCGTGTGCGCCCTGCTGCGCTCCCGCCAGCACGTGGTGGGCGCCTCGCCGGACCGCGTGGTGCAGCACCTGTGCCAGCGAAGGGTGAGCGGCCGGCCCGGCGCGCGCCGCCGCCCCGGGGGCCCGGGCTTTCACCCACCGGCGCCCCGGGACCTCTGAACCCGGCTCGTGGGGTGCCCCCTCCCTCCCCCCTTCCCTCTTCCAGGACCGGGGTCTCCCCCCAGGAGATCTGAGTCATGGTGTGGTGTGGCCTGGAGGGCCCAGCCACCCTCTCTGGGCTCCAGTTCCCAGCGTGGGGTGCAGCCGGGGCGCAGTTTGCAGTGGTGGCTACAAGTCCTGGGGACACACTTTGGAGCGGACCGGAGCGCGCGGTCTGACCACCCCAGAGGCCCGCAGGCCTTTGTCCTTAGGGAGAAAGTTCTGCTGGGCACCAGCCGGGCCCCGAGGGCCCTCCCCTGGGCTGCCCCAGCCGCTGCGGTATGGCAACCATGGCCCTGGGGAGGACCAGGTGGCGGTGGTTGCCACGGCAGGCTCTCTGGAAGATGCCAGGCGTGCCCAGCCGCCAGTCCACCCTGTGGCCCCAGGTGCAGCCTCGCAGCAGTCACCAAGGCTCACGGTCGAGGGGGACAAGGCCCCGAGGTGATGGGCCCTGGGTGGAGACCTGCTCTGGTCCCCTGGCGGAGGGGGCGGGGGGGGGGGGGGGGGGGGGTGGAACAACAGAGCTAGGAGCGGAGATTCCTACCCTCTGCTGCATGGCCGGGAGTCACCCCAGCCCAGTGTCAAGGAGGTCATGGAAGCGAGGCTGGCCTGGGGAGGGCCCGGTGGCCCTGGGCGTGGAGGGGTCGGCATGAGTGTGCAGCACAGCCCTGTGAGCCTGGCCGTCCCTCCCGTCCCGGCCTGGTGTCCGCCCACTTGTCTGAGGTGCCTCCCCCATCACGAAGGCCTGAGTGGGGGAGGGGTGCAGAGGACCTGCTCCCAGCTGACTTGGGAGCCCAGGCCTCCTGGTGCAGGAGAGGAGGAGAAGGGCTCAGACAGCTCCATGCAGCGCCTCGCTGGAGGCGGGGCTCCCTGGCCAGACCTCGGTCTCTGCTTCCTCCCCTTCCGGGCAGCAAGTTCCCTGGGCCTTCTGTAGCCACCAGCCCCTCGGGCTCTTGCCTGGTTATAGGAGAAGGGGGGGGCGGGGGGGGGGGGGTAAGCCTGGTACCAGCAGGTTGCATGGAGAGAGGAAGGTGGTAATAGGAGTTGTGCTGGGGAGGGACAGTGGGCATGGGGTAGGGCTCTTCGTGGGCCGGGGGGGCAGGAGAGCAGCTCGGGCAGAGACACAGCAGTGGGGGAAATGAAGCCTCCTTACCACAGGGCGCGAGCTTGCCGGGCCTCACCCCTCCCCTCTGCAGGTGGAGCCCCCTGACCTCCCGGAGGACCTGCAGCACTGGATCGCCTACAATGAGGCCAGTAGCCAGCTGCTCCGCGCCGAGAGTGGACTCGGAGACGCCACCAAGGACCAGTGACGCTGCCTCTGCACGCCAGCTCCCCTGACAGCAGGCCTGGCGGGCTTCTGGCTGGACCGGCCTCGAGACCAACCCAGGTCCCCTCGCCCGCTTGACGCCCTGTGCCAGGTCCCACGCTGGTAGCTGATGAGATGGCATTGGTACCCCGGCTCCCTCTGCGGGGGTCGGAGGGCACAGGGCCCTGGCCGTCCCTGTAGTGAGGCCCCGGGGGAGGAGGAGCCTGGAGTCAGTTGTGTGTGTGTGTGTGTGTGGCCAGGGCAGGCCTGGCACGCGCTGGGTCTCTGCCCCTGAGTCGGAGATAGTGATACCCAGGAAAGGGCCACCTTAGAGCCAGGGACGCTGAGGCCTGGAGTGCCCAGAGCCTCTGAGAACACGGAGCCAAATGGGAGCTGGGCCCGCTTGACAGTAAGAGCACTGAGGCACAGCCCGGGCGTGGGGCTCCCCTGCCTGTGCCCGACACCCGCTCTGTCATCCAGGGAGGGACGGCATCTGGAAGCTGCCTCCTTGCTGTCCCGCTGGGAACTGGAGCGTCCCTCACCTGCACCCCTCTCCATGCCGCTCTTCTCACCCTAGTGCTAAGGGAGCTGCTGCTGTTCTCTTTTATTTATGGAAAGCACACAAGTAAAGAGTTTTAAAGCGTGTGGGCTTGGACTTGGGGGAGTTTTTGTTTCTGAAGCTGTGGCCCCCCAGAGACCCATCCCCCCAGAGAGTGTTGTGGTGACCAGGTTTGTCCCCATTCTGCACATGACCGATGCCCCAGGGAGGGGTGCCCCAGGGCCCCACCGGCCTTCCTGCCCTGCCCTGTCCCCAGCACCTGAATCTCACACTTTCTGCTTCCTTCCTTGAATCTGGCATGGCTCTGGGAGGTGAGGGTCCCAGGCCCCCAACGTCATGGGACAAGGTGGGGGGGGGGGGTGGAGGCCAGCCCACAGGTTCTCAGGGTGGAGGAAAAAGGACCCCCAAGTTGAGGCAGGTTGTGGGAACAGGGGTCAGAGGCAATGTGGCACAGGGCCTAGCCCTGTGGCCCTGTGGGGTAGGAGGGGCAGAGGGGGGGCAGGAGGGGCAGAGGGGGGGCAGGGAGCCAGTGGGGGTGAGAGACAAGGGCGGAGTGGAGGGTGTGGTTGGGCCCTGCCTAGTGCTGTGCGGCCAGATAAACCCAAGTGTCTTCACTGGTTGGGGGCTGCAGGGTGGGGTTCCCAGTGGGACCTGCACAAGGGAGTTAAGGGAGGGGTACACTCTTACGGCCAACTGTGGGACAGCCTCAGCTCCCTGCTCCCCCTGGGGTCCTCGGGACCCCTCAGCCTCACATGGGAGGGGGGGGGCAGGAGGCAGCCCAGCTCGGGATGAAGCTTTGGACTGGAAAGGCTGCAGCCTGGGAGAGCTCCTCCAAGCAGGCTCCGGCGCGCCCTCTGCCGGCCACGCTGGCCTCCCCGCCTCCCCGCGGAAGGAGGTGGTGGCCTAGGCTGTTCCTGTTGGCTGGCCGGGCGGGGACTCAGCATCATGGTACAGGGCCTCCCTCTGGAAGGCCGGGCTGGGGAGTCACAGGCTCCCGTGCAGCCCCCAGGCCAAGTTGGCAGCTCTTCTTCCCCAGGGAGCTGGTTCCCTGCCCAGGTGTGTGTGCCCCCAGAGACAGCTCTATGGAGGGGGGCCAGGAGCCACAGCCCCCACCCCAGTCACCGCCCAGGGCTATGGCCTCTATGTGGTTTGATCCAAGACCTAGTTGGGCAGAGAGTGCCCAGCTCGGAGGACAAGGGCAGCTGGCTGGAGCCGCTCTGGCTCATGGCTGTCCAGTGCCCCGTCTGAGCCCTGCGAGGGGACAGTGCGGAGCCAGCCCTGCATGGGTCTGAGGGGAAGCTGGCAGTGCCTGCAGGCCTGTCTAGTCCCCTCTGTCCCCAGGGGACAGTGGACCACTGTCGGTGAGGCCCATAAAGACACCCCAGGAAGACCCACGCAGGAGTGGCTGCCGCCGGGCTTTCTCATCCCCCCCCCCCCCGCAGTGCCAGTGGGCACTATCCCCAAGTTTTTGTGCTCAAAAGCTGATGCTGTGCCACGTGAGCCACAGCTCCACTTCCGGATTTTTGGTGGTTAATTGGAGGTAAGAGTCTTAACTGGCTTCCTGGCCTGGGCTGACTTTGAACTTCAGTCTCCTGAGTAGCTGGGGTTACAGGCGGGAGCCCCTGGCGCCCGCCCTTCCCCCTCTTGCTGTGAAGTAAGACTGTCTGGTGGGGCTGGCACCACCATCCCTCTAGAAAGGAATCAGACGCCGACCCAGGGTGAGGTGCTCAGGCTGGAGGGGAGGGCGTGTTTGCGGGGCTGGTTTGCACAAAGGGTGCCCAGACCGTGCAGCACTGAGGCCGGCTCTGCAGGCTTGGATGCCTGGGAAGGATGGGGTGGTCTTATTTATTTTTTCCAAGGTTGAGGGGCCAAGCGAGTTGGCTGCAGGCCTGGCCAGCCCCACTCGCAGAGACCAGAGCAGAGGTGTGCGGGAAGGTCAGCCATGTCAGAGGAGGAGGCGGCTGAGGAGCGAGGCTCCCAGCAGGGCCAGAGCCCCCGGGCCCGGCCTGATCACCCCCACGGCGTTGCAGAGGTCACGGAAGCAGCAGAAGACGGGGTGCGCCAGCCCGATGCTGTCGGGGTCCGTGGCCAGGCAGGATGTGGAGCAGGAGCGCGTCACCATGGGGCTCTGGTTGAAGGGGTACTCTGCGGAGCGGGGGGGCATCAGCCTCACGCCGGCCAGACCTGCGCACCCCGTGCTCCGCACCTAGGCGCCCCCTCCCCAGCCCCACCTGCCAGCCTCGCCCCAAGCCTCCCAGCCCACCCCACCCCTGTGAGCTCACGCAGCACCTGCCTGAGATGGGGCCTGTCCCGTGCCTGCCAGCGCTGTGACGTCCTCGTCGGAGCAGCAGGGTGGAAGCCCACCTGGGTTTGGCCTCCACCCCCCCTCTCTGCCCGTGCCCACGCCTGTGCCCTGCGCTGTCTCCAGACCCCCCCCCCCAGCCCCTTACCCGATTCCACAGTCTCCAGGGTGGTCTTGCAGGCCGTGTCTTCCTGCTTGCACTGGGTGATGTTCTTGCACGAGTGAATGGGCGTGGGCTGTAGGCAGGTGTAGCACCTGAAGGCCTCACCTGGGCAAGGGGTGGGGGCAGAGCCTCATCACCGGCCACCTGGCCACCCTGTCCCGGAGCCAGGAGGAGCGGGCTGGAGGAGACCTGCTGAGATCCTTCAAGGCCCAGTTGGCTGAATGCAGGCCTCAGTGTCCCTTCCTGTGGGGCGATAACTTGACCCCAGTCCCCAGGGAAGCCGGGCCCTAAGCCAGGAGACTCACGGGAGCCACAGAGACCCCGGCAACCTCACCTTTCCCTCCCTGAGAGGTGGGCAGACAGGCCCAGGGCAGCGCCTCCCACCGGCTGAGCCCGGCCCAGCACTCACCACAGCCCATGCTCCAGGCTGCCATGAGCAGCAGTGAGGTGGCCCAGTGGGAGCCCATCCCTGGGTGCTGAGGAGCTGGGAGCCTGGCCGGCCCCATGGTGAGCATTTATACGGGCTGGCCCCTCCAGCTCCGCTTCTGGGCGGCGTCGGAGCCTGCCGTGACTCAGTAGGGCGGCACGGCTGCCGGCTGCCATGGGGAGGGCTGGAGCCGGGGCGGGCAGCAGCCACTGTCACTCACCTCCCCGGGGGCGGGCCCTCTTCAGACTGGAACGCCCAGCCTGGGGACCCTAACCCTGCCCTAGGCTGGCACAGCCCCAAGCACTGGCCACTTGTCCCGGCCATCCTGGACAGCTCTGACTGCCCGCTAATGGACCCTGAAATCCTGGGTCAGGCACCTTAGGGGTTCACAAAGGCCACCAGGCTCCAGGTAGGAGCATCCTCAGGGCCCAGTGGCAGGGTGGCCTCAACCCTGCCTGGGGCAGGGCCATGGCGGGCCTGGGGCTGCTCTCCCAGCCCCCCCCCACCTGGCGCACAGCTGGTACCCCTAGTCACATGCAGAGGCCAAGCCAGTGTGGGAAAGGAAAGTGCTGGGGAGCGGCAGGTGGCCCGGGTGCCATCGCCAACCAGACCCTCTGCGGGCAGCTCCCCACCACTGCCAGACCCTGCCCACGGTGCTCTTAGGGAACCCAACCCCTGGGCCCTCAGCCTGACAGCAGCAGCCCTACCACCCTGTGGCCTCCTGGTCTAGCAATCTCCTGACCACCATGGCACACTGACCGTGGCCACACCATCCTGTGCCCACACCGCTTCCTGTTCCAAATCTCTCACCTGTGACACACCATCTCCCATCCCATACCTTGAAGCCACTCCGTGTCAGAAAATCCATCCGGTGTTTGTCGTCTATAGCTCTGATTAGACTCTGGGTTTTTGGTTTTAGTTTTCTGATTTCCATAATGGGTAGTTTATGAGTGGGTAGATGAATGACTGGAGGACAGATGGATGGATGGATGGATGGATGGATGGATGGATGGGGGTAGATGGATGGGTGGGGGTGGATGGATGGATGGATGGATGGGGGTGGATGGATGGGTGGGGGGTGGATGGGTGGGGGTGGATGGATGGGTGGGGGGGTGGGTGGGGGGGTGGATGGGTGGGGGTGGATGGATGGGTGGGGGGTGGATGGGTGGGGGGGTGGATGGATGGGTGAGGGGGTGGATGGGGGGTGGATGGATGGGTGGGGGGGTGGATGGGTGGGGGTGGATGGATGGGTGGGGGGTGGATGGGTGGGGGGGTGGATGGATGGGTGGGGGTAGATGGATGGGTGGGGGGGTGGATGGGTGGGGGTGGATGGATGGGTGGGGGGGTGGATGGGTGGGGGTGGATGGATGGGTGGGGGGGTGGATGGGTGGGGTGGATGGATGGGTGGGGGGTGGATGGGTGGGGGGGTTGATGGACGGGTGGGGGTGGATGGATGGGGGGGTAGATGGGTGGGGGGGTGGGGGGGGTGGGGGTAGATAGATGGAGGATGGATGGATGGGTGGATGGATGGGTGGGTGGGTGGAATGGTGGAGGATGGGTGGATGGATGAGTGGGGGTGGATAGAGGATGGATGTGTGGGTAGATGGGTGGGGGGTGGATGGATGGGTGGGTGTATGGATGGATGGAGGGTGCATAGATGGGTGGATGGGTGGTTAGATGGATGCAGGATGGTTGGATGGTTTGGAAGATGAATGAGTGGACAGATAGGCAGCTGAATGGAGGGGGAGTAAGGATTAGCTATAAAATGGGGGTAGAGCAATGGATAGCTGCGTGTGGCTGTGTGGACATCTGGAGGCGGGCCCTGCTGTGGCTCAGAGGGCTCACACTCTGATCTTGAGGTAGGGTGGGAAGCGCCCAGAGCTGGCGCCCGGGAGGCATGAGTTCTTCTCTTAGCCTTGCAGTGTTTCCCATGCACAGCCTCAAGGTGGCCCCTTGTCCATCTAGCCTTTGGCTTTCTGTATGTAGGTGCTAGCACAGAGTGAGCTGACACTGGGCTGAAGCCAGCTGCACAGGACTGTAAGAAACCAAAGGAGGGCGTGGTTTGCCAAGGGAGAGACCGTGGTTACTGTTGATCAAACACCAAGGCCCACATGTGGGAGATCAGCCCTTGCCCAGAGATTGAGCAAAGAGCCAGGGCATGTCTGGCTCTGGAGCCTGGCAGACTGAAACCGGT